CAATAAAATAAATTAATTTAAAGATACTATTATGTGATATTTCTTAAAGGCTACACATAAATGATATGTTGGTTCTGCATCTGCCTGCAGATGGGCACTTTGTTTAGAGTACTGTACTACCTCAGTGTAATGGTTGTTATTGCTCCAAGGCTAGGTGTTCCACTATTACTACCATAACCACCCCAGTCAGAGGCATAAAATGGAGACTGAATCACACATACATTTGTTACATCAGCTTTATCAGACTCCATCTTCAATCTAGGCATGGAAGTAGCAGCAACTTCTCACAGACTGACCATGTCACTCTTCTTTTCCTGTGTCTTATCAAGCTTTTCCAACTCTACAAGGAACCTATGCCTACTGTCATTAAAATGTATCTAACAGTTCATTTATTCTACACACACATAGACTTTTTATACCCTGTGAGAAGAAGTGTGTGAAAAGGAAGGAGAACACTCAGATCACAAAAGACTGGACCACTTCTTGAAGCAACCAGTCAGGCTTCAATAGAATGGAACTATAAACTAAATGTGGTTTAAGCTTTAAAGTCAGCATGCTAGGTAAAAATGTCATATGTTACCTTACCTTGAAAAGACTTAAGCAAGGTGCTCTGTTATAGAATGATATATTTTTTATCAGTAAAACTTCTAGTTTTTCTTTCATACTTGAAATAACTAGTACTTCTTTAATTGAGACCTAGATGTAGTATTTGCCTTGTATTTAGTTGTCTGTGGTATAAAGAAAAAAAATAAGTGTATCTCTAAACACTAATCTCTTACACAGCATGTAAATTACTCATAGTTTATCTCCATTCTCTTTCTCCCTCTCTCATTCTGTCTCCTCTATGATTCTCTCTGTCTCTGTCTTTCTTTCTCTTGTGTACTCAGGACAGTCTTAGTTTTCCATGTTTTAATGCCTCTTTCACTCTCAAGACATATTTTAGTCTGAACTATACAGGAGTTAACACAAGAAAGTTCCTTTATGGTGATGGAACAATTCTATATCCAGATTGTGGTGGTGGTTATACAAGTCTATACATGTAATAAAATGACATAAACTATATACAGTGACATATGAAAAAGAATTGGTTCATGACAAAACTTGGAGAATCAAAATAAAGTCTGTAGTCTAATTAATTGTTTTTTGCCAATATCAGTATCCAGGTTTTGATAATGTATTATAACTGTATAAAATGTTTCCATTGTGTGAAGCTGAGTGATGGGTACAAAAGACCTCTCTGTACTATTTTTGAAACTCCTGTGAGCCTATTATTATTTCAAAATAAAATTTATATATATACAATTGGTTGGAACCATGTAATTTATAGCATATTCAAACAATAAATTAACTATATGGCCCCACCTTTCTTGACTTTGTTGTTCCTCTATGAAACACTCCTGAATTAATAAAGCCAAAACAGCCAAGTGCACATCAAAAGTTCATGGTCCTGATTCTCTGAGACTATCATCCTGAGATACTCTTTATTATTTTTTTAAAGCTTTTATTGTAAATTGAGTGAAAGTGTACAGGGCAGATCATACGTTTTAATTCAACAAATCATTGCAGTTATTGCAATCACCTCCATGTACTGGTATACTCTTTAAACCTTGAACCAAAACTATCCCCTGAGGTCACCTTTTACTGAAATCACAGATTGGCATACAAAATAAAAGACGTTATCCATGAGTATGGTGCTCCAAAAAAACTATCCATATGAGAACAAAGGTCAGCAATCCCTTGAAAGCAAAGATGAGAAGATAAGGGGGCAGGGACACTAAAGCACTGGGAACAAAACAATCAGAACACAATAAATGAGAATGTTGACACATTATGGAAAATGTAACGAATGTTACTGAAACTTTGTATAGAAATTGTCAAATGGGAACTAATTTGCTGTGCAAATGTTCACCAAAACACAATAAAATATTATTTCAAAAAAAAAATTCAGGCTCCTATTCTATAGCATAGATTTGAATATAACAATTTATGAACAAAATAATTTCACAGGCTCTCCTCCTTGCAACTATGTTTGAGCTAAGCAACTGAGTTCTGGAGAATGAAATGAAGGTCAGAGTGACATATCTCACTTCCAGGCCTGATCCACAAAAACTTTCCATGTGAACCTCTACCTTCTGTGTTCTTCCAGCAAGATGTCAACACTTGGGGAAATCCTGGCAATCAAATGTTGAAGATGTCAGAACCTCCACTGATGTGACAGCACAAAACAGAGGGTCCTGGATTTTACATGAGCAAGAAAAAATCTTTGGTGTATTACATTTCAGAACTTACTCATTGTAGTAACTAGTATGTTTGAGTTACAACATGAGGAATATTGAAATATATCAGAAAACAATGTTAAAAGAAAAAGAAAAAAAAAAAAAGACTGCATGAAGAATAAACTGTTTCTGTAAACGCACATAGAGAATAAGAGAGTTCCTTGGGTAACTAAGTGGAGGGTATCATCATGAGTCAAGACATAAAATATGAAAAAGCAGGCTTGAAGGAAATAACAGAGTACAGTTATGTGCATTGAGGGGCTTTATATACCCATCAATGAGAGAATGGATAGACAAACTTTGGCATGTATACACAATTGAATACTATGCAACACTGAAGAGTAAAGATAAATCTTCAACACACCTCATTACAAATCCAGTGGAGTTAGTCAATGACAAAAGGACAAATATTGTATGAGAACACTATTGTAAAAACTCAAGTTTTAATAATAGAAGAAACATTCTATGATGTTTATCAGGGGTGGGAAGGAAGGGAGAGTAATTCACTGGCTAGAGGGTAGACATGTATTAGCTCAGATGTCAGGGAAGGAGATATACATCAAGAGGGAGGTTAAAAGAAGAATGATACAGGCATGGGAAGACACTAGGAGAAGTGCAAGAGTTACAAGGGACTAGAGGTAAATACTGTTATCTATACAATCCTGCAGTAATAGTGATCTACTGGCAGATACATGGATAGATACACAGGGTGAACAGGTGTGGGAGGGAAGTTGGAAGTATACCTATACATATATAAAGTTTTGATAGAGCATGAGTATTTACCTTTGCTGCAAACATATCCAAAAATGTGGTGGATCAAAAGGGGGCAAAATTATGAAAACTTCTTAGACATTACCAAACACCTTGAGAAAATGAGTTGCTGGACCTGGGTGCTTGGGACCATAGTCTCAAGGAACACCATGGTCAATTGGCATAACATAATCCACCAACACAATGCTCTATGTCCTACTTTTATGAATAGTGACTGGGATCTTAAAAGTTCATAAGTAACCATCTAAGGTGCAACTATTGATGTTGCCCTGTGCAGAGAAAGTAAGAGTGATGAGAACTGAAGATGCATGAAATCAATACATCCAATGGACTAACAGAACATGTGAACATCAGTCTTCATGACCCTTAGACCAGATGAACTAGGTGGTGCCCAGCTAGCACTACCAACTGTCCTAAAAGGGATCATATTAGAAGGTCTGCAGAGTGGGAGAATGCATAGAACAAAACTAAAAATTATATTTAAAAAAAAAACAACAACACAGGCTTACTGTCCAAAAAGAGACTGAAGAAACCCAAGACTATGCCCCTTGGTCACCCTTCTGAAACTGAACTCAACTTTATGGCTCAATTTACAACAATACTAGTGAGGTATGCACACCACAGGATGGCCAATCATTCAAGATAAAAAAGGCAGCATTTACCTAAGGACAAAATTCAGAAGGACTGGAAAAGAAAGTAAACTGGAAACAAAAATCACAGGGAGAACGTGGGATAACTGATGTTACATTGAGGGGATTGCAATCACTAAAATGAAGTCTATGATTTGATTAATTAAAACTGAAGACCTGCTATGTAAATCTTCATTAAATTCACTATAAAAACTTTTTTTAAAGATTGAAGGGTTTATAAAATATCAAGCAGAGATGTTCACTGGACAGAAAGAATAAAAATTGGAATCTGGAGAAATGCCTGGCCTACAGATAGAGATTTGTAAGTCAACAAAATATATAAGAAGATTGAAGTGATTGATTTGGAAGCACCAAATAAGGAAAACAATAAGGATACAAATGGAGCAAGAATGGAAATCTACACTGTGCCATAAGAGGGGTAGTATCTTTAAATTAATTACTATCCTTCCATTTCCAAAATGAGGGGAAATGACAAGAGACTCCTGAATAAGATAGTCTGAGATCTTAAACAGGCTCAATATCGACCCACTCAGGGAACCTTGTCAAGACATCCAATTCCATATGTTTTTAATCTGTAAAATAGTGACCATATGGGTAGAATAGGTCATGACTATAAACTTTGCTGATAAATTAAAAAACATCAACCAAGAGAGCAACATCCTTAAACTTGAGGTTGTTTACCAGTCTCTGGTTTCCTTCCTTATACCTAGGGGAGTAATTTTCAGGACTCCTAGGTATTAGTTAGCTCCAAGGTAAACACAAAGTAAAATATTCTAATAAAGGAGATAGAAATTTCCTTTCAGGTTCATATCATAGCAGAACAATAATGTATACCTAAAAAAAAAAAAAAAGGTTAAAAAGGTTAAGAGACAGAAGAATATACAGTAGGGGACATTAACAGACATTATAGCAGATGGGCTGAATTCAAGGCTGAGATGTCTGTGTTTTAATCAGTATTGACTTGGAGGGGCAAAGCACATATTATTTCAAGTAAAGTTTTGGTTTAAAAAAACAGCATGCAACAAATTAGTGGTTTGGAAAGTGAAGATAGAAAGATCCCTTATAACTGTATTAAAACTATGCTCCTCCAGGGTCACCTGAGAATAACAAAAAGGAAAACTTTGCCAACAGATCACTGAGAGCCACTTCTTAGTTCAACAAGATAGCTCCATTTAATCTCTCTTATTAGATGATTCTGCATTATATCATTTTAATAGAAATGTTCAATGTTTTTATGTCTTTAATAATATTGCAATATCAGTATCTCTACTAGATAAAATTGCAAAAAGAACTCCAAATGTTATCACCAAAGAGAGAAGAAAACTTTCTTTTTACAAAAGACTCTCCCCAGGGCTCCCTTCATGTCTCTGTTCCTCAGGCTGTAGATGAAGGGGTTCAGCATGGGGGTCACTACCGTGTACATCATAGCCATCACGGTGTCCTTAACAGTAGAATTATCAGCTGATGGGCACAAATAGAGACCAATAACTGTCCCATAGAACAGTGACACCACAGAGAGGTGGGAACCACAGGTGGAGAAAGCCTTGCGGATGCCCCTGACAGAAGGGACCTTGAGGATGGAGGAGACGATTCGTACATAGGACATGATGATGAGTAAGAAAGGGATGGCAAGAATGAGTCCTCCCGTGATAAATATTACCAACTCATTAACTCGAGTGTCAGAACAGGCCAGTTTCAGCAGAGCAGACATATCACAGAAAAAGTGGGGGATCATATTGTCTGCACAAAAATACAATCTGGCCATGAGCAGGGTGTGCAGCATTGCATGGAATGTGGTCAGAACCCAGGACAGCGCCACCAGGGAGAAACAGCGATGGGAACTCATGATGGTGGTGTAGTGCAGAGGGAAGCAGATGGCCACATAACGGTCATAGGCCATGGCAACAAGGAGGAAGCTCTCCAGGTCTGCAAAAAACAGGAAGAAGTACATCTGGGTCAGGCAGCCAGCATACGGGATGGATGGGATTTGGCTCTGCATGTTCTGCAGCAATTTGGGCATTGTGACAGAGGAGAAGCAGAGGTCAGAGAAGGACAAGTTGCTGAGAAACAAATACATGGGTGTGTGGAGGTGGGAGTCCAGGCGAATGAGGATGATGATGAGCACGTTTCCGAGGATGGTGGTGAGATACATGGCCAGGAACAGGGCATAGAACAAGTTTTGCTGCTCAGACTCAATGGGCAGGCCCAGAAGAAGAAATTCTGAAACTCCAGTTAGATTCTTTACTGTCATGATTTGTGTCTTGTAGCTTTAGGAGAATACAACGTGTTCACTAAAAATCTGAATAAAAATAAACATATTTCTATAATGCATGGTTTGTTAGGTGTACTGAAACACCCTCATCATCCACAACAATTAACAATCTCTATTACCAGAAATGTGTCGTTTCATTAAATCTGAGGCATTCTTCAGACTTATTTTCTTCACTTCTCCTTAGCATGAACAACACTGACTCTCACTCTCTTCTAAAACATTCTCATCCCTTAGCTTCTGTGTTACCACACTGGTTTTCCTGCTACCCCATGACTATTTAGTCTCAATAACCATAATTGGCTTCTCCTCTAACAGTTCTTTACATGCTGTTATTTCCCAAGGCTTTTCCTAAAATCTCTTTTCTTATTCTACATTTACTCCTGTGGTATTGATCATAGTCTAAACTTCATAGACAGATCTTCTATCACCTTCAGAATTGAATTACCAATTTCTTAGTCATTATGTCCTCATTGATATGTCAACTGATCCCAAACTAAACTCATGACCTCAGCCTGCATCTCTCCCATCTGCTTCTCCTCTAGTCTCCCATAACTCAGGAAAAGATATCCAGGTGATCAAGTAGAATACCTGAAAGGTTTCTTTTTTTTTTTTTTCCATTCTTTCCTTTCTCTCACCATCAACATCCAATCTATCATTAAGCCCTAAAGATTCTGCCACTTCATTCTCTAATTCATTCATTCTTTATGCCAACTGCTACTCCCCAGCTCAGGCTGGCATCACATCTTCTCTAGTTTATTGAGATGTTGCTGTAGGAATATCTCCCAGCTCCCAGGCTCACTCTCCTTCAAGCCCATATTTTATACTGTGGAATTCTAAGATGAGAATTTCTGCCTAAGCTTTTTAGTGGCTTCTCATTGTTTTTAAGATAAAGGCAAAATTCCTTTCAAGAGCACAAAATGTGCTTCATGACCTGACCCTAGTCTACTTCCACAGTCTCACCTAATCACAAAATGGTACTTGCGTTCCACACTTCAGCAATACTTGACTAAAAAGCCATCATTTCTTGCCTCCAGTCATTCTTAATTGCCACTTCTCCTGACTAGTACTCTTGTCCCTCTGCTCCTTTTTTTTTATGAATCCATTTATCCTTCCAGTATAAAATTACATGTCCCTTACTTAGGTAAAGCTTCCTTGCCTCCCAAAGTAGGCCAGAACTCACTGCTATGTTTCCATCATATCCAGTACTTGTACCCATAGCACTCAATGCATTTGGGATTACTGTAGCCCTTTCCTTACCAGATTGTAAACTCCATGTAGGGTCACAGCTGTATGACGCTTCCACAGCACCACAACCTGGAACAGTGCCTGGCATGTAGTCAATGCTTCATAAATATTTATTGACTGTCATGAGATATGTATTCTTCCAGCTTTAAAGGCATTAAAAATTCCTGTCAAATTATAATAATTACTACTAAATCCGCCCAGAACAAGAATTTACTAGTCTTAATTAGTTACCTAGCATTTGTTTTTGACATTTTATTTTCTAATTCCTGGTTGTAACTTAAGACCAATGGAAAATATTAGATTACTCAACACATGATTTTTGATCCTAAAACAGACAGCCTGGAACACACATCAATGCTGTCACTTTGTGCCTATGTTGATATTCTCATGATTCTGTGATATTGATGTGAAAAAATAAGTTTGATTGGGATGTTTAGCAATCAAAATAAGGAATGAAAATAACTTCTATCCTTGAAGCCTAGCTCCAGTTCTTCCCCAGATATCCATACCCTAGTGTGTCTCTGAACTAAGAAAGTTGAGGAAGATCATTAAGGGATATGGGGAGTTCCTTCTCTAAAGAAACATAATTGAGTCTAACTTCTGAAATGTTCACTCCCTGATGCTGTTTAATCCAGCAATATTAACTGGTCTATTTTTTTATATATATACTTGGGCATAATGTTCTGGGACAGGAGGGAAAAGCATCAAGTGAGGTTTCATGTACTTGATTTCTCAGAATTTTGCTCTTCTGGGAAATAAGCAATCCATGTCTGCAACCAAGAATCTCATTAGCAATCAAAAATCAAAAGATTCTGCCTATGAAAGCTTCTGTTAGCTTAGCTCTAGTGGCAGTGTAGGGTAAGCCTGTACTACTAACCACAAGGTCAATAGCCCCTCAGGAGAAAGATTAGGTTTTCTGCTCCTGTAAAAATTTACAGTCTCGGAAACCATAAGCAGGGTCACTATCAGACAGAATTAACTTAATGGCAAATGGGTTGGATCACATCTTCTTAACTTCAATACTATTAATTTGGAAGGAGTCTAAAGAACCAGTTTAGTCACCCTCCTACTGTGGCACTGTGGACAATGCACTGGACAGCAAGTTTGGCTCACCAGCCGCTCCTCGGAAACCTTAAACAGGGTCACTATGAGTCAGAACCAAGTCGATGGCACTTAATAATAACAAATCCAACTTACCCAGTGTGCCTGAGAGTAACTCCAGGACTCTGGTCCAAGATTCTTCTCCCCTTTATACACTATAAGCATGTGGGGTAACAACCTATTTAGTTGTCAATTGTGTCTACGTCATCCCTTCTCACATCTCCTATTTTACTTTTCTCTGGTCCTAATCAGCTCTTGATCCTAGAGGAGTCTAGATCCCGAAGAAACTCATTAAAGACAAAGTAATTACTGAGGACTCCTCCATGAAAATTCTCTCAGAGGACTGGAGCAGTGACTGATTACACATCTACTATACTTAGGGGTAAGGAGCTCTGGTAGCATAGTCAGCTGCTAATCCGACAGTCAGCAGTTTGAAACTACCAGCGATTCTGCAGGAGAAAGATGAGGCTTTCTGCTCCCATAAAGATTTACAGTTTCAGAAACCCTATGTAGGGTCACTATGAGTTGGAACTCCACACCACCATACCGAGTTAATTACCTGTTTAGGGAATTCAAAGTAATTCTATGTGGTAGGAGCCCACAGTTTAGAAGGTGAAGGAGAATAGTTAGAGAAACAACAAGTTTAGCAGGGACCAGAACATTGATATCCTAAAATAATTTATTAGTGCTGTTCAAACTTTATTCTGTGAGCAACAAAAATCCATTAGTGGTCTTTGAGCAGAATATCACCATGAAAAGATACATGGTCGGGAAAGACTTCCAGGATAGCAGAACTTTCCACTACAATCCAGTTCCCCATAACATGTCCTAGAGGAGATAACTCGGTTGCTCAAAAAGATCAGACTTCTATGACCCGACCACATGCAGAAATATAGAAGGCTGTTAGAGAAGAAATAATGAGTCTTTGTAGATCAACAACAGCAACAACAACAAAAAGTGTGTATGTATGCTTATAAATGTATATGCATATATCAGGAGCTCTGATAGCATAATGGATTACGATTTGCATTGCTAACTGAAAAGTCAGTAGTTCGAGTCTTCCAGTCACTCCACAGGAGAAAAATGAGGCTTTCTACTCCCATAAAGATTTACAGGCTTGGAAATCCTATACAGTGTCATTATGAATCAGAACCAACTTGGTGACACACAACCACCATCAGCACGTATGTATGTTGTTGCTGTCAAGTGCCATCAAGTCAGTTCCAATCCATAGGGACCCTGTATATGGTTTCTAAGGAGCGACTGGTGAGCTTGAACTGCACCTTGTGGTTCAGAGACTTTGCAGTCCAGTGTATTAGCCCACAGCACCACAATATGTCTGCATATATATTCAAATATATAATAAAGCACACAGGGGGCACGGTTATAATTCTCAGATATAACAAATCAATTCATGGGATAAATGTTCTTGTTTGAAATCTTAGATCCAAAGTCTTGTGGGACAACTCAGATAATTGGCATAATATTGTTTATAAAGTTTATGATCTACATTTTTTATGGTGTCTGGAGTCTTAAAAACTAGTGGTTGACTATCTAAGATACAACTATTGATCTCTACTCATCCATAGAAAAAGAGAAAGAAGGAAATCCAAAACAAGAAGAAACTAATCCACAAGAATAATTGTCTACATGAATCACAGTCTCATCTACCCTGAGACCAAAAGAACGAGGTGGCACCTGACTTCCACTACTGATCATTCTGATCAGGACCACCAAAGATAGATCCTGATAAAATGGAAGAAATATATGGAACAGACCTTAAAAACTCCAGACATACTGCACTGGCTGAAGGCTAGAGGAATTTCTGGGACTGTTGTCCTAAGATAGTCTTTAGACCTAGAACTGAAACTACCTCCTGAAGTCACGTTTTAGCTGAATAGCAGGTTAGTTGTAAATAAATAACATAAAACAAATAAATAATATCACACTTGAATATTGTGCTCCTTTAAAAAAAAATCTGTATGAAACCAAGCAGTCAACAATTACTATAAAACAAAGATGAAAAAGTAATGGGGAAGATAAAAGTTAAGTTCCTAGAACAAAAGAAAATTCAGAAATCATGAGTATGTTGATAATATGAAGATTGTAGTCAAGGTCATTGAAGAATTTGTGCAGAGATTGTGTTAAATAGAAGTCTCATTTTGCTGCGTAAATTTTCACTAAAAATACAATAAGATGCTATTTTTAATTCAACTGTAGTAATGTATAAAAATTTATTATATCATCATCTCCTAATGTGGAATGATTAGATAGAATTCAAATTTTTCTATTATAGACAATCCTGCGAAGAACATCTTCAAACATAATATTTTTACTTTGGAACTTAATACTTTAATGGAAATGTAATGAATTGATCACTGTTGTGACTTTTCTTACATAGTGCTTGTATCTTCTAAAAGCACTGTACAGATATGCCATAACTGAATGGTTAGGCCAATATTAATACAAGGGTGAGTCACTCTATGGTTATATTATCCACTCTCTGGTTATATTAAAACTTCTATTGATTGCACTTTCCTATCAGCACTTTCTGTTCAAGGTCACTGCTATGCAGGTGTGAAAATGGACATCTGCAAACAAAATGTGGACCGATACTCAAAGAAAGACAAACA